TCGATCTGTGGTGTTTTGATGGTGTTTGAAAGTTGAAGGCTCGATTGTACAGACGGAAAGAATTTTCGAGAAAAAGAGAGAGAAGGGAAGAAAGTTGCACGTGTGTGTATGTGTGTCCAATGTAATTGGGCATTTTAAATTGTCCTAAGTCCTAATTGGGCTGCATGGCCGAGCTTATGCAATTTGGGTCAAACCCAATTTCCTCTCTTCCTTACTAATATTTCCACTATGAATCCAACTCGGCCACTAATTCACATCGACACCCTCGTAACCTCAAATATCAATATTTTTTTGCCAACGGGGCAATAATTTAAACCATATACATACATTCACATCACATCACAACGCTCACGAGGGTAAAATTGTCATTTCCACGCGTTCAAGGATAAAATATATTTTAATTTGGGACGAGTCGTCGCATCCATCACAAACACTGTTTATGAAACTAATCACTATTTATGAAATTGAACACTATTTATGAAATTGAAACACTATTTATGAAACTGAACACTATTTATGAAACTGAAACACTATTTATGAAACTGAACGGTGCTACACTAATTATTGGTCGAGTTCATAAATAGTATCTAGTTCTTGTGCGTAGTTCTTGGTCATGTTTCATAAATAGTGCCTAGTTATTTGGTCTAATTTCATAATTAGTGTATAGTACTTGATACAATTTCATAAATAACGTCTCTTTCTTGGTCCGATATCATAATAGTGTCAGTTATTGGTCTACTTTCATAAATAGTGCCTAGTTCGTAGTCATGTTTCATAAATAGTGTTTAGTTCTTGGTCCAATTTCACAAGATTTGAAACTTATACCCTTTTTTGTCTTGTGAAAACATGCATTGCCTGAAAACGATGAACTCACATAATTCTTTAGAATCAAAACCTTGAGAAAATTATGTCATTTGTATTATTAAAAAAGGTTAGTAGATGATTTTTGATTAAAATGTAAAAATTTGAAGTTCTTTTTATTAATGGAATATGCTTGTATTGGATTGCCTTCGGGTTTTCTATTTCTTATATTAGTTTTTTTATTTAATGAAAGTAAATTTAGTTTGACAAAAAAAAAAAAAAAAAAAAAAAGAGCATAAAAAGGAATCCAATCCCCGTACCGTGCGAGTTCTTCTCAATGAATTAATGGATGATAACGCTTCCAACTGAAAGCATGAAAGTCACCTACCCTCAGTCTGAGAGAAAAAGGTGACCAAGCAGAAAATTCAAAAGAGAAAGTGACTGATCAAATCAAGAAAAGGTATGGCGAGGCCACAACCACTGTTGATGTGAGCATATAAGAAAATAAACATATAAACCAATAAATAAATAATGCATATATGGTGCGACCTCCCATCACCTTTTGAATTCCTCGGCAGAAGTATACTTACGATGATGTGTTGGTTTAAAATGGAATTAAGTTTTATTCGACCGGCACTGCAGAGTGCGGAGACATTTCACCTTTTCTTTTCAGATCCTTTGGAACTACTCTCTCACCAATTGCTCAATCGCTAAGCAATCCGGCGTTGCTCCTACTAAAAATTATTAAAGTAGAAGCTACAACCACAACATTTTTCTTGCAATTGTTTTATCATGTCATATATTCCTTGCACTCGCAGAGAAGATCATGAGATCATACCCCCAAAAAATAAAAAAAACAAAGATAGAACATGTGCTGATATGCACTTGATCCGCATAATTCAGCAAAACAATGGGAAAGGGGAGCGAGTGCAGTATCAACAAACGCTGTTTTGATATTACAATGTCAAGGAGGACTAGAAAGTCGTCTTTTAATCATAACGTCGAAGGAGGAATTAGCAACCCTGCTCCCGCTCCCGCTCCCGCTCCCGCTCCCGCTCTTGCTCTTGAAAGTTTTCGGGATGGAAATGGAGATGGAGAAGATCAGAGTTCGCCCTTGCTCTCGCCCTCCAAAGAGAATGGTTCTGACCGTAAAATCTTGAAGCAATTGATCAATGGGGATGAAAAAGCAAAGCTGGTCATCAAGTCAGGTAAGGAAGGGAGCACTGGAAGAAGTTCACTTGGCCAACACTTCACTGAAGAAGGAAACAGGAAACACCTTCAACTGGTCAAGAAGCAGCAAAAGGCAGAAGAGAGTTTGCAAGGAGGAGTGAAGTTGAAAAAACTGGTGAGTCGTTGTGCCAAAGTTTTAGGCCATTTGGTTAAAGTCAGGAGCGACCCAACCCTTAGAGAGCCCAGGAAGCTTAAGGCCGCCGTTCCTCGGATAACTATGTAATATTGTAAGCGATAAGTTTCTTGCTTGTTTGTTTCTACATATCAAACTACAACACTTTATTTGCTTTGCCTTCACATCATGTATACAGCATAAGTGTTCTGTGTATAAACATATATTCGAATTCGAGTATGCGATACTTACGAAGATATGTTTAGTCTCAGTTGTTTGCTATTATATATATAATTGACAAGTCGAAATTCACATACCCAGCTAATTCGATTATTAGATCTATTGTTTGAAATCCTCTGTCATGTACTGTCTTCTATAGCATCTCCTCAAGAGCTCATCCCTTGAGATTTTAGAAAATGACACTACCTATTAATTACCTACACAAAACAAAATTAATGTGCAAGGAAATCAAAATTTGTTTTTCTAAGTCAATTGGGGAGGGGGAGGATCAAACTCTCACCTTGTGACTTGTCCCAAATATGAGAGAAATACCACTGAGTCATGAGGTTAGGTCATAACATGTACTCGTTATTTTTCCTTTTAATAGCTAATAAAATTTCGTTGAGTTCTCATTTGAGGTTTACGTTAGCTAGAATCAGAACGTGAAATTAATTTCTTGGGTAAAATACAAAAAATTACCTCAACTATTAGTGTCACGACACTTTCATACCTCATCTTTTAAAATTAACAATGTCATACCTCATCTTACGAATTTGTGCCAATGTTATACCTTCTGTTAGTCTGCCATTAATTTGTTAGTTAAATGTTGACGGAGCTTGACCTAGACCTCATTTTCTATTAAAATATTAAAAAAACTAAAAAAAATCATTTAATATTTTTAAATATTAAAATAATAAAGAAAAGTTAAAAAAAAAAAAAATCAAAACCTTTCGTCCCTTCCACCCCCTCCCCCTTCTCTCTCTCCTCCCATCTTCATCTTCTTTCCTGCTTAATCTTCAACCAAAAAAAAAAAATTTGAAAACCCTTCAACCCCCAACCCCTCGAAGAAGAAGAAGAACCCATCTTCATCTTCTTCCTTGCTTAATCTTCAACCAAAAAAAAAAAAAAAAATTTGAAAACCCATCAACCCCCAACCCCTCGAAGAAGAAGAAGAAGAAGAAGACATCTTCATCTTCTTCCCTGCTTAATCTTCAACCAAAAAAAAAAAAAAAATTTGAAAACCCATCAACCCCCAACCCCTCGAAGAAGAAGAAGAAGAAGAAGGAAGGAGGAGAAGAAGAAGAAAAAAAAAACCCAACCCAGTTCGTACCCCCCCCCCCCCAAAAAAAAAAAAAAAACCCTGCAACCCAGAAAGAAAAAGAAGGAGGAGGAAGAAGAAGAAGGAAAAAAAAAAATCCAGATCCCGTTCACCAGGCCGATTCCGCAAGGGGTGGGTGCGAGGGGAAGATGAACTAGGATTTTTTTTTTTTTTCTGGGTTGCAAGTAGGGGCACGGGTGGGGGAGAAGAGGGGGGGGGATGGGGGAGAAGAGAAAAGGACGCCGGGGGGGGGGGGGGTGGGGTGGGTGGGGAGAGGGTGAAGGGATGAAGTTTTGTTTTGGGGGAGGGGGAGGGAGGGAAGGGAGGAATTGTTTTTTTTTTTTTGTTTTTGTTTTGTTTGTTTGTTTGTTTTTTTTTTTTTTTTTTTTTTACTTTTCTTTATTATTTTAATATTTAAAAAATATTAAATGATTTTTTTTTAGTTTTTAATAATATTTTAATAATTTTTTTAATAGAAAGTGGATCCTGAATCAAGGTATGTCAGCATTTAACTGAGAAATTCACGCCAAGCTAACGGAAGGTATAACATTGACACAACTTCATAAGATGAGGTATGACATTGTTAATTTTAAAAGATAAGGTATGAAAGTGTCGTGATACCAATAATTAAGGTAATTTTTTGTACTTTACCCTAATTTCTTCATTGATATTATACAACCCAGTCACTCAAACAACTGAATATTTAGTAAATTATTATACACAGATGAACAACGTCCTGCAATCATGCCATCAACTTGCTTCAATAAAAGAACTAAAAGGGCAAACAAGTAACGAATTGAATGGCCTTGTTGACATGACCAATTGCTGAAAAAAATTCAGCTTCTCCTAAAGAAGACTTAGGTCCGCTCAGTTAGTTTCTTTCTCTTGTAATAGAAACTAACAAAAATATACAGAACTTCAAGTCGAAGTTGGTTTCAAGTGGATGCTATATCAATAGAGGCTCGTAGTATAACAGCTCAAGTAAGATCGTTTTCCACAGAGATTGAATGAATAATTTGTGTTTAAAACCAACTCTTAATTAATTATTGAAAACAAAGTTTGGAAAATGTTGATTTTAGAATTTAATATTATGCAATTTAAAGAAAGTCAATTTGTAAAGCCTAGGGTTCAGCCGTCACTGTTACAATCCTATGCAATTCTACTAATTACTTATGAATTTCCACATACATGACATACATGCTTTGAAGGTTAGGTTTTCCTAATGCATATTTTCCTCGTGATGTTCAAGTGAAAACGTATATCTAACATGCAACCCGTCTGTAATGTTTAGATCAAATATAAACATGCAAGACTCATAAAGCTTTGTGAAAACCCTTTGAAAAATCATGCAACCCTTAAGAGCGTGATATTCACCATAAGTGAACTTACAATTACTAATCACAAGAAGCCCTCTTCAATTTCAGGGTGATGTTCAGACAAAAATTGCATCAAACTACTTGTCTAAAAATCCTAATGGTCGCGAATTACTAAGACAATTAGTTAGTTTAATCACAATGATTAATAATTCAAAGCAAGCATGCTTCCATTCATAAGCAAATTAATAAAATTACATATTCATGCTAAGACTCAAGGCTTCGCCGTAGCAAAAGAACTAGCTATGAACAATCATAATAAAATATTATTAAGAACAAGGGTAGAAAACACCTAGAAAATAAACTTGTTGTCAAAGGCTTGTGCGTTTCCCCCTCTCTTTTCCTTCTAACCCTAACGGCTAAAAAGTCTTATTTATACTACGACAAAATAAAACCCTAAAAAGTCTTAGAATAAAACTAGGAAACATAATAAAATAATAAAACAGAAAATAAAAGGTTTCTTATTTAAACTGAAATTTGGACTTCTCAGGAAATCAGACTTTTGACCAACCAAATAAACTCCGATTTGGTCCCAAAATGTCTCTTTGGAAAGCTGGAGACGTCCCCTACAAATCCTCAGAAGGAATCTTCCTCAAAATATGTCATATTGACCTTCAAAATACCCAAAAAGTCCAAAAACGTCAATCTGAAAAAGCTATGCACTGGGCCTTTATTTCATCGCCACGGTCAAACGCTTAGTAGAAAAATCTGGAATTTTAATACATTCATTTTGAAAGAATCATGAACATCCTCCAATTAGAATCACTCCAAAATTCATCCGTTCGATCACTTTTTGCTTCAGAGGAAATTGAATGTCCTATATTAAGAATATAAATTAAAGTATCAAAATTCTACCAAAATAACAAATAAATTATAACTAAAATTAGGGTAAAATATATAATATAATATGGACTCATCAAGCCCCATCAAAGGTTTAGAGCGAGCACGTTGCAATTTTCTTGGTCTTATTAATTTATGATGATTTTATTGGGTGAACAACGAAAAAGGAGTAAAATATTTGGGATCTCTTTTGCTGGTTAGGGAAATGAGAGCAAAGATAGATGGGGTGTCAAAAAAAGAGTTGATTGAATAGTAAAGAGAATAATAAGTGAACAATAAACAGGGACAAGCAAAAAAAAAAAAAAAAAAAAAAAAAAAAAAAAAAAAAAAAAAAAAGAAAAAGAAAAAGAAAAGAGACAAGGGTTTCCATGTAACTTTAGCAAAAAGAGCAAAACTATCTTAGTGTTGGCTATGTTTGGCTAATGACGATTTGGTTCATTTTGAAGAGGCACTAGATTTCAAAGTTGAATCAACGGCTAGCCTACTGTTAATAATATTGATATTGTCTCAATTTAAATACAACTCAACAGATGTTGAATTATATTAATAAGCCTTCATGCAATTAGGAGTAGAACCACAAGTTTCCGTTATGGGTTGCATTTTTTAACAGATCATGGTCATGAAAACAACGATTAGTATAATTATAGGGGATGGTTATGGTCTCATAAATCGGTGCTCTTTATAACTTGTTTTAACTCATACTGAAAAAGGTTCTTTAATCTCATGTAGTTGATTAAAATCAAAATCAAGGCGCAAAATACAATTATTTTCATTTTTCCTATGTTAGTCAATCTATACGTGATGGCACATCCAGACATCTGAATTTAAAAGAACAAAAAATTCTTCTAAATTGCGTCTAGCCCAAAAGATAGAGACAATAGTTATTATATATTTATCATTGAACCTCAAGATAATACATTATCATGAAAGTCACGGGTCATAGACTCTAGGCCCTCAAGATCTGAGTTTGTAATAAAAGAGTTTAATCCGTTTCAAGCATCTAGGTAAACAAGTATAAAACCATTAAGACGAAGCACCAAGACGAGTCTCTAATCATAACCATTTCGTTGCACCGTAACAGACCGACAATATCCTGTCGAGCAGCGCCACTGCTAGAACTTGACCCCACACTTTTGGCACTCGTCGGCCCATCCACTGCAATATATAGGAAATTAAAGAACCCAAAACCGTTATAGCTAATTTTTAGGCTTAAAAAAATTTGGTCGTGTTTAAACCCTACAAAAATACTATTTTTATCATTTATTTATATCATTTTTTCTAATAAAAATAAAATCCACTTATATTTCTGAACTTTTAAAAATAATACAAATAGGTAATAAATGTGACATTAATCTAAAATCTATTTTGATCACGTGTTTTTATTAAGTTAATTTGGTTAGTGTGGTGTTCAAAATTAACAATTCTGGTCACTTAATTGAAAAATATTAAAACATTTATTAAATAATTAAAATGAATAAAATAACAATTTAAAATGATTAGAATGAATATAATAACAATTTAAAAACTTTAAAATTCATTTAAAAAGAATAAGGATTGAAAAAGAGGACGAGATTTTTCAATACAACCGGTACACAAAATGATACACTACATGTCATTATATAAATTGTGGGATATGTGTGCAAAAAATTTAATAAATTAAAAAATAAAATTTCCCACTACTTCTATTAAAACACGTGATGTACCACTTGTGTTCCCGTCATAACTAAAAATTTCTTGAGAATGGGGGCATTGGGGAAGACCAGCCCAACACCGTCACCACCTCTCTCTCTCCCCTGCCAAGATCACCCCCTCCCCCAACCATACGCACTCCACTTACTGGATCCGCACATATTGAATAAATTCATCGCTCAAACTAGCAGAGTAACTGTGAGTCAAGGGCTGTCGTAACGCTTGATTATTGTTTGGGGGGGGGGGGGGTGGGGATCCGCACATATTGAATAAATTCAGCGCTCAAACTAGCAGAGGAACTGTGAGTCAAGGGCTGTCGTAACGCTTGATTATTGTGTTGGGGGGGGGGGGGGTGGGGATCCGCACATATTGAATAAATTCAGCGCTCAAACTAGCAGAGGAACTGTGAGTCAAGGGCTGTCGTAACGCTTGATTATTGTGTTGGGGGGGGGGGGTGGAGTGGTTGTTGATTTGTGTTTCAAATCTCAAGCAATCGTATTGAACCAAGACTTGCCAGATTAGGTTTTCTAGTTGTTGTTGATGGTCGCGTGGTGGCTGACCATCTTCCCCGATGCCCCCCAATATTTTCATTCCTCCTCTTTTTGTGCTCTTAATTAGATTCATTCATTTAATGAATATTTTAATATATATTTTTTTTTTTACTTTCAATTTGACTGAAGTGACAAAAATTGTTAAACTTTGAACAATACAGTGATCAAATTGATTAAATTAAATACACAATGACCAAAATAATTTTGACCCAGCCATATCAGAGGGACCAAAAAGATTTTTAAACCTAATTTTTATTCAGCTAGAGAAAAACAAAAACAAAGTAATTAATTCCAATTCTTCTATATTGCTAATAATGTTAGTAATATATTAGTTATCACTTACCGCTAGGACTTGGAGCAAGACTGCTGGCAGTTTTAGTAGAGTTGCCTTCCAGTTGATAGAAAACTTGAGCTTCTGGTGATTTAGGATCCAAATGCAGAAGTTCTGCGCGCATCCAGCAATTCCATGCCAACCAGCAAATCAAACAGAAAAAGTAGTGTGTCAAAGTTAGAATACTACTGCAGAATGTATGTATGTATATAACTAGAAATACGAACGTACGTACGTACCGGGACACTTGGAGACATTGGCAGGGGCCTTGCAAACGGAAGGCAGGCCCAAAGCAAGCGTTACATTCATCTGCAGACCAAGTTCAGGATCATTGCGATCTTTAATGATAACACAAAGGCACTTCTTATTGTTGTTGAGCACTTGTTTGAGACCACTGCAACAGTCTGGTGTTGGAGCCTTGGCTTGACCTCCAACGTAAGGCAGACACGTGGCCATCCCTACTAACTGCTGCGTACATTCCTCTCTGTCTTTTGCTGAATCTGCCGTTGCGAAGCTCGCTGTATAACTTGATATCATAACTAACAGGACTAGGACCAAGTAGCCAAACCCTAATGCCATTTTCTGAACTGTAATTATATTATCAGATCAGTAAAGAATAATATTTCAGATGTAAGCTAGAAGAGAGAGAGAGAGAGAGAGAGAGAGAGAAGCTCTATGTTAATTTATAAGACAAATTAAGGTGGTAGCTAGAATTTCGTGGTGGACACTGGTAGTGGTGTGGCCTTTGGGTTCATCCGTTCATATGTATACATATATTCTGCGGTCTGAACTGCACTTGAAGGGATATATAGTTGCTTCCAGAATAGAGAGTTAATGGACAAAATCATTGAGTTTGAGTGGTAAAGATCGTGCGGCCGACAAAAGGCAAAACCATATATATATATATATATATATATATATAGTAGAAGGTGATGATGTGTAAATAACAGCTTCCGGGTGTTTTGAGTTTAAACTAGAATGCTAAATCAAGTATACATCAAATATTAGTGGGGGATCAGTTAAGTGCGTCACTTCACCAACCCCACTAAGGCCACAAGATAACATTAATTCATGTTACTTCTCTTTCAGATGGCCGCTTCCATATATTTCTTAGTTTTCTTTCAAGGTTATTTTTCAGAATTGATGCCATCATGACATCATTCAACTATATTATTGACATAATGCAGAACACATTTTATTTAGAAAAGAAAGAAAAAAGTTAACGGGGTTATGGTGATAAGAAAAATGCGAATGATAAACACAATGTGAAACCCCACCCCCAAAACTTTATGTAATTTCACATTTGCCCTTAAAAATATATGAGATTACATTTTCACCCTCACTATCTAGATTTTCCTCCTCTCTCTATCTACCACGTGGCACCAGCTCTACCTCCTCTTTCTTTCTCTCCTTCTTCTCTCTGAGTCAACTTTCACACACACTCTCTCTCGCAAATCTCTTTTTCTCTCTCTTTCTCGTCTCAACTCTCTCTTCTTCTTTTGGTGAACTCACACACACACGTACATACCTACACACTAGCCATCTCGCTATCATCGCCTGGACCTCTTCTCTTTTCCTCACCTCTCCGATTGCACTCTCTCTTCTCGGCACTGTGCACATTCACTGTGTATGCGAGTTTTCCAACGAGGTAAGTCGAACTCACTTCTAAATCTCCCTAAATAGAGTTGAGAAAAGTGATTAGATAGTTTTGAAACCTATTGGGGTGTTTTATTGGACAAAGGAATACCCGACGAACATTCTTCCCAGTTTCCAACGAGATCCCGCAGCTTGCTAGCTATTTTCCGATCATCTCTGACGCCAACTCCACTCTATCTTGGTATGACTCGAACCCCTATTATTTTATCTTCAATTTGGCTTTAGAATGACGAATTTTGGTTCAGCTTTAATCCCTCATCGAAGTCGGGGGAATTGTCCGGCCAGATTCCAGCTTTCTATTTCGTTAGGTCTGGCGACCGACGAATTGAGTTAGGCCAGCCCAACCCACTTAACCCATTTGAACCAAGGCCCTTTGGGCCGTGACCAACATCGGGCATTCGGCTCGCTAAAACCTTAAACCCAACCCAATTAATCCCATGTCCAAAACCTTTTAACCCTGAGCCGGGCTTCCAAGCCCAAGCTTAGTTGTACAAAACCCTAGGGCCTCGGCCCATTAAAACCCAGTAACCCTAAACCTTATTTCCTTAGGCCGGGCCTTAAGCCCAAAACCCAAAACTCGGATCCAACCCATTGAATCAGTTGACCCGAGCTGATTGACCTGACCTGGTTGACCCGACCTGTTGGCTTTGACTTTGATCGTCAACGTTGACTTTTTGTTGACTTTTTTGGGTTTTCGGTCGGGACCCATCCTAGGCTAATTTCGACGTCCTAGATCCGTTTTTGATGTCCGTTTTCCCAAATCAATCATTTGAATAGAGTTTTGTTAATTGTACCCTTTATGTGCTTAGGTGCAATTATTAGTGGCGATTATGTCATTCCAATTTCGTACGGCTCTACGATGACGGAGTATCTGTGAGTGGACCCCTTTTACAATGCATGTTTTAATAGTAGAAATGCATACATGAAAAGCATGATTTAGTGGTTATATTTTATGAGTAAATTAGATCTACACTTATGATATATCATGCTTTACTGCGAATATTTTGGAATACCATATTCTATCGAAATTATGTTCTTCGTAGTATATATGATGGATGACTATATACTGCTTATGAACATGTTTTTACACTTCTTTATAGTATATATGATGGATGACTATATGCTATGAAGATGCTTTTAAGATATATGTACCTATGTTTGGAAAAAGTATATTCAATGGTTTTGTGCGTATCTAGTGATCATTGTTCTGCATTCGGGTGATGATACTTATATTGACCTTTGGGTTGGGTGTTGTAGAGCCTTCAGGCAATGATACTTATTTTGACATTCAAGTTGGGTGCTGTAGAAGCCTACGAGCGATTGATACTTATGAAGGAAGTGTTTTGAAGGAAGAGTTCTATATGCCTTCAGGCGATACTGATACCACTAGTTAGCACACTATATATGACATGTGTTTTATGAAATGTTTTATGGCATGCTAGGGTTTTTGGAAAAACCTATCACATATTATGCTATTAGTTTTCATAAAACTTTGGGGGTTAGTATGTTGATAACTATTTCAATATTATATATATATATATATATATCAACTTCGTCTACTCATGTTTGTTTTGCGCCCCCTTAGGACATAGGAACGAGGATTACGACCCTGTACTACTGGGGTTTTCCCTTACCAGTGATATCGTGCCGTCATCTCTGCTTTGACTTCTATTGCAATAGCACCTCTTTATTTTATCTTCCACTTGTACTTTGAATTAGTTGTATACTATGAACATGTCATGTATTATCACTATCTTTATCATTGTTGGCAGTTGAATATTAGTATATTATCTTGTAGTTCGAATGAAATTTATACGCATGTTTCACATGTTTTCAGCATATGTATTCATTAAATGGCTTTCGTCACCCGCGGGTGTTAGGCTAGCACGTGGTCATCCTGATGTCCTTCGAACATCAGGATTGGGGTGTGTCAGTTTGGTATCAGAGCATACTTAGAACTTCATTATATTTGGTAATCATAAACTTTCTTGGATCCAAGATCTTTCGTCTTTCTAAATCTTGTTTGTTTCTTATCAAAATCATAGACCATCCTGGTGGGAATGTACCTCGACGACCTCGTTTTGGTATAATAGGATAAATTCAGCAGTTGACCTTCGCATTACAGAATGCTTTTCCTAGTAGTAGCAGGCCAAGTCGTACATACATGGAGATTGCTCGTAGCCACGGTGTTCCGGATCTTAGGGTAGTTAGAGCCTGTCAGGAGGCTGAGGATTGGTTGGAGAAAATGGAGGATACTCTAGAAAGCATGAAATGCCCAACGTCTGAATGGGCAAATACCGCTGGTTACTTTCTTCAAGGGGACGCGAGGTTTTGGTGGAAGTCAGTGAAGGGTTGTCGTCCACCTGGTTCCTTGATGACTTGGGCCACATTCAGGAAACTCTTCAGTGCATACTTTTTTAGCCCAATTATCAGCTGAGAAAGCGATAAGAGTTCCTGGAGTTTCGCCAGGGCGATCTGAGCATTAAAGAGTTTAATAGCATTTTCTAGCTCCTGTGGAGACACCATGAAGGAACCTATGAGAACCAACGGGAGATGATGATTTAGCTGCTGATTGCTATACACCCGGATTATCGCGAGCTTTTGGCATCACAGAGGCATAGGTCTTATTAGGAAATGATTGAGATGGCCTTGAGGATCAAGCAGACGAGATGAGACAATCTTAACAAAGATCAGCCTCAAAGTCAGAACCAGCCTCAAAGTCAGAATTGCCCTCGGAATCATAATCAGAGGGATCGTAATTTCCTATCCTGGAGCATGAGGGAGCCTTCTACTTTTTTTAACCTCTTCGACCCTAAACACTTTTATTCTTTTAAGCGACAGTGTCAGGGTTCATGATCATTTAGTGACGGCCGATGCAGTGAATCGGGGAGACGATCATTCATCCATTTTGATTTAGGTGCAGCTAGACCGAATTGTGTTACAGGTGTGGCAACATTGGACATATAACCCGAGATTACGGTACTCCATCTTCATCTGCTAATTATGTTGATAGTTTGGGTTATGGTGGGAGTAATAACCCGAATACTAGTTATAGTGGGAGCAGTAATACTCAAGGTTATGGCAGTACTTAGAACTATGATGGCAGTGGTAGCTAGAGTACCTAGTGTTCTGCCCAACGACAGCCATAGCAGTTCGGAGCAGCTTGAGGCAGCTGTACTCAAGGGAACAGAGCAGGCCATAACAACTAAGGTCCTAGGACTCGAGGCGGCCATAACAGTGAAGCGGGATATTAGGTTCATGGACGTATCAATGCCATGACTCAGCAAGAGGTGAAGCAGGACCTGAGAGTAATTATTGATAAGTCACATTTTGTATACATTTATATCTTCATTATTTGGCGTCTTTGTGATTGTTTTGGATTAAACTAGTTGCATTTTACCTTATTTGGTGTTAGTGTGCAGCCAAGGGTGAATTTGGATCAATGGGAAGGCAAATGAATTAAAAACGTTCCTTTTGGTAGCTGAGCATTATTCTAAACGTGGAGAGGATTCTAGGGAGTTAAATTGAAGTCCAAATGAAGAATCTAGGAAACATGTGACTGCTTGAATTTCAGGAAAAGATGTGGAAGTGTAAAGTGGTGCAATTCGGCCATATTGGGTGATTCTAAGCAAGGCAAAAGCATTGAAGTCAGATTAGGTGATTCCAACACCAAAACATGCATTCACATACATGTTTGCAACCTTGCCGTGTACTTCCATGCCATTCCAGCTCATTTATGCACTTCTAGCTCTAAAACAGATTCCACACATCCATTCCGTGCTTCCCATGCCATTCCAACTCCCTTTTGCACCAAGAACATGCACTTCCATTACTTAATTCACTCAGCCATCTTGACACCAACAAACACAATCATACCGTGCAGATTCCATGTTCTAACACCAAAACATGCATTCACATGCATGATTCACAATCTGACCTTGCATTCCATTACCTTTCTCCAATTCACCTTTGCAAAGGTCCACTCACTTGTTGCAGCAAGGGCACATGCTTCTTTGATTAAATAAACCACTTACTTGCAGATCTTGTCCATGCCATGCGTCCACTACCTCAGAAATCCATCATTCCAGCTGACTTATGCACTGCCATCTGAATTAAACATATTCCAGATCCAATCTGAAGGTTGGAGCCACATTCATTT